GGAACCGAAAGGAGCAGCCAGGCGGGAGACAAGGAGGCCGCATGGAAGAAGGCGCACAAGCCACGGGAAACACCCAGCTCGGAAAAACCAGCAGCCGCCGGAAATCCAGGGCAAAGGCACAAAAAACAATAGCCCATGGTGGAAGCCAAGGAGCCACACATGGGAAACAACACTTCTTGGAATTCCAAAGGCCGGTTTGGAATTTGTAAGGGACAAACATAATTAAAAGACATTAAAAACCAATAAAAATACATTTAATAAAAGATAACTAATGAACTAAAATGGTTAGCTAATAATGAGCTCAACCCTTAGTTCAATAAGTGAACTAAATATACCAGCTCATAAATGAGCTAAAATTTCAGCTCAATTTTGATTGAGTTTGTAAACTCGAGGGAGGCCAAAATTGATTTATTTTGGACATGAGTTGCCCCCCCTTTTTCTACATCAAGTTTCCAAAGTTCTTGAATACGGAGTTGAGCTTCGGGGTTGCACTCTATAAGGGCTATGGATGGAATCCAATCTATGAGAGGTGGGATTTTTACCATAAACCACCTAAAAAGGGTTTGTAGCCTATTATTTGGCATGCGATATTTGTTGTAAAAAATCCTATCTTCGGATCATCAGTATGCAGATATCTTACACGTGCCAAGCAGAGAAGAAAAAGTAAAAGAGTTTAAATGGAGAATTATGAGTGAAGGACAAAAATAGCATTTAAATCTCCACCAATCTTAATCTCAAATGGGAAAATCTAGCCCCCTCTACTTAAGCAAATGAAGAATGTTGGATATTATGACAATAAAAATTTGATAGAACTTGGAATGCTTACCTACACTTAAATATCAACTCAATACTAAACATTGAGTAGGAAACATTTTTTGGAATAAATGGAATATCAACACGAACAATGTCTTTATCATTCATACGGTCCATTCAAAAGCAACTCCACGAGTTCCATAAAATGTAATAAAAATGCTTCTGAGCAAACTTCAATGAGGTGTGAAAACCTTCCTTGATGATTTTAATAACCACCTGCTTATAAATTTACTATAGTGCAATTTTTATGTAATTTAAGCCCAGTAGCCCGGAATAAATCATGCTGGGAAGGATCATAATGGGAGAAAGGGTAATTGCCCATGCATATGCCCCGTCCACTATAATCAAAACATTTACATAACTAATGACAGAACAATCACATATGAACAATTAACAATTTCACATATACTTTATAAGAATTTCATAATGTACAATCTTCTAAAGTCATCATTCAAAATATAAAAAGTGGCTAAACCTTTATTTTTACAATCAAGAAACCTACAAAATATTAAGTTCCATATATATATATATATATATATATAATCCAAATGCATTATCATTTGATCCACATTACAATATACGTAGAGGTTAGCATCGTAAGTCTAAAAAACCCAACAAATCATAGAATAACACATCTAAACAAAAGTGTCTAAAACAACACTTTACCTACCATATTTACAGATATACCAAACTAAAGGTACTCCTCATCGATTGCAAATAAAACACTATGACTCATCTACTCCGTTTGAGGCATTCTTAAAAATAGTCATCAATGAGTGAGGATGACTTGTACATAAATATATAACTCAATTAATACATAATTCTAAATAATAATAAATATAATGAAAAATAATAATATGCACACTAATAATTAAATATGATAAGGCTATTTGCATAAAAAAGCACTAGCTATGACAACTATTTTTATAGCATAGGTTGTCGAATGATCATAGCAATTGCCATAGGAAAGATAATATTATCTAAATATCATTCCCATCATGGCTATTTAAATGGTTCAATCTACGCACTGAGATTGCAAGGCAAACCCTTTGAATTTGACAA